ATGGGCGCGGACTCGAGGGCCACCTGAGCCTGGAGACGGGCCCTCAGCGCTCGGCACCGGATGCGGTCATGCTTGCGATTTGGGGGCCCCTGCGTCAAGGCCATCGGCAGGGCGGCCTTTGCACAACTCCACGCAGGGTGCCAGTGCGGCCTTCCCTGCATCGGGAGGTTTCGTGCGGCGCTCCTTGCTCTCCTGTCACCTCGCAGCTGGACGCTGCAGCCGGCTCAGCGTGGGACTGCTCTGGAAGACTCATCTGGAAGTGCAGCGCGCAGCAACCCGGATAGTTATGGGCATCCCGAGATTCGCCCACGGACCAGGAGTTGTGCAGCCCGAGGTGCTGGTTGTCACCTTTAAAGCCCTGCACGGCTCAGGGCCTGGATCCCCTTGAGATCGCCTGCTCCAGGCTGAGTCTGCCTGCCCAGTAAGCGAAGGCTTGCTCAAGGGGATGCCTCATACAGGGGCCCCAGAGTTGCCTTCTCAGTAACGGCCAACCTCTGTGGTGGAATGGCTTGCCCCCTGGTATCCAGACCCCCCTCTCTTTGGTGGCCATTCCAATGCCTTGAAGATGTGGCTCTTCAGGAAAGCCTTTGGTGGCAGTGTTAGGAGATGTTGTGGTTTAGATCGCTGTGTTGTTGTTTTAATGTTTTTGTTGCTTGATGTAAGCCACTCAGAGGAGCATTAACGAATAAGCAGCAAACTCATATCTTCGTGGGTGTCAGACCAGGACAAGTTTGTTAGCCTGAGAGTTGCAACCTCAATAAAAGTCTCTTCTAAACTCTTGTGATGTGCACCAAGGACAGTGCTGCAGGCGTTGTGCAACTATACTTCTTTTTCTGTAGTTTTTCAGCACTAGTATTGCCACTTGCTGTAATTAATAGCACGTTATGCAACGAGGCAGCCTCTGTACCTTTCTGAAAGCAGTGATGTCAGCTGAGCTGTAGAGGTTGCACTGCAGGCAAAACCTGCTGGTTTTCTTACTGTTTGAACAGACGTGAAGAGGTGCATGTCTGATAAAGTGACTGCACGTGTGCAGTAGGGAATCCAAGCAGCTGTGGTAACCCCTTTGCAGTCAGAATTGAAGCTTTCTGGTGATCCTGGAACTGGGCATGTGGTGGGTTGATTTGGCTTAGAGCTCTTTCTCCAACCAGAGTTGGTCCTAGGCCAGAGCTCACAGATGCCTCACTGTTCCCCTTCACCTGAGGAGGGGCTTGCTCCCCTACCTTCCACTGTTGTGGCTTAGGCGGGGGGGCCTCACTCTCAGGGCTTGGCCTGCTCCAATTGCCATCACACCACCCACCTCTTTGATCCCCTTCCTGCAGCGGAGTAGCAGGTCCTGGCCTCGGTCATGACAGCACCTCTGAGGCTGTAGCAGGCAGGGAGGAGTGGTGGCAGCAGAAAGTGCAGCTGCCCCTTCCAGAGCTTGAGGTCCCTGGGTGGCATCCTTGTCTGCCAGCCTAGGGGACGATCAGCTGCTGCTCTGCTTTTGGCCAACGCTCTGCTCTTGAGTGTGAGAGTGGCCTGCACAAAATGGCCTGGAGGGCTGAATTTGATCTCCATTCTTTTCCAGTGAAAGTTTCCTAGCCCTCTTAGAAGGTGCCATTAGTTTGGTACAGACCTACTTGATTATGTTAATTAGGAAAGCTGATAAAATCTTATTGCAGCCCAGACTGCTTGTCTACAGCCAAACCACCATGTGCTCCATGTGACTGTAAAACATTCCTTTTCCTTTTGATGAGACAGTTTGGCAGGTAAAGCCGAAAATATTCAGAAATGAATATGCAGTCATAGATAGTTTAAGCATTGTTAACACAGTATTAAAAACATAGCCAACATGGAGCTTAGGGTGGGCTAGTTTGTAGTTTGCTGGGCCATATGAATCTAGCCAAACTATGAACTGGCCCACCCTAAGCACCATGTTGCATAAACCCAGCTTGTGTGTTATTTTCTCATTCAGGAAAAATATAAAAACTTGGATATTTGAATAAATCAAAGTATGTCATATGAATTCAGCTGCCAACCCTAGAAGTAGGTATAGGCTTCAAAGTAGACTTGTGATGGAGGAAGCACCAAGTGTTGTTGACCCAAGAACCCAGGACATGGAATGGAAATAGAAGATCACCAGGTTAAAGCCAAGCTTCCTTTATTCTTTATGTGTTACTAGATTCACTGTAGTTTTCTCAATGAATGAATGGGTATGTGAAAGTTTGCTGGACATACTTGAACATGGAAATAGCATTAGAACATATACAATAAGGAACTTTATTTTCTTAGTCTTGTTTTAAGGTTACCGATCACATGATTATGCCATATATGGGACTCTGTGTAATGCTTTTTAAAAAGATGAGTCTTCTACAGGAGGAAGCTAGATAAGCTTGAAGAGAGGATCCGTGGGGGTGGGGGTGGAGGGGCTCTTATGGCAGCAGAGTTGTTTTCTCATTCAGAACATGAGTCAGTCTTCTTAAGAAAGCTCTTAATTTATTAAACTATTTTAGTATTTCACTTAAAAGTTATTCTGAAACATTTGAAATGAAGAACATGTATGGATTCCAAGAGTTAGTAGAGGGCATCTAAACCAGTGGGTTTCGAAATTGCTTGATATTGAGGCATCTTGCCCATGGGCAACATGGACACCATCAGTTGGGGAGTCTCCTGTGAAGTTTTCATCCTCACCTTCTTCCGTGTCAGTGAAGTTTATGCAGGAAACATTCTGAGGAGTTTATGCCCACATTAGTACGTTGTATTCTGTCAGAATGTGTCAAGACATAGACCAAAATGTCCTTTTGGGGTGCAAGGATTAAATGGGGACAAGTACAGGTGAAGGAAAACAATCCTGCAGTTGTTGATTAGGTCACCTGCTGGTGGTCCTTAATAGCTTTTAACGTTCTTGTTTAAGCATTGCCATCTGAAAACTTAGATGTCTGCAAAGTTGGTTTCTTTTAAAACTATTGTCTGTGATGTTGTGATGGAACTGACATGTTTGGTAAAATTGACTGTAAAAGGTCCTCTGACTTTAATCTGGGTCAAGCCATAGTGAACCTTTCTGAATGAGGGCTGAAAGCTCATAAATACAGAAAGAGTTTCAGAGAAGGGGGGAGTGAGAGACTTTATAGTGTACTATGTGACCTGTGGTTCCCCTAATTCCCCTGCTTATTTCTAGTGTAAACAGCTTTAGATACTGAACAACAGCAAAAAGCAGAGTATATCTATTTTAAATAATCTTTGTGTGACAAAAAGCTGGTCCATAAATGGCAGTTCTTCTTACACCTTTTAACAAGTGCCTGAGAGATGGACAGAATCTTGTGTCTATAATTGTGGAAGCCATTAAAAAGCAGGATTTCAAAACACTACATCCAAAACCTCTTCCCTGTAAGATTATTTCTATCTTGTGAATTTTCCATGTATTCTGCTTAGGAAAAGATAAAGCTCACCATTGCCTTCAGTGTAATAACTGCATATTCAACTCAGTCAAAACTTGTGAACTTTGGCTGAACAGTAGTTATCTCAAAGGGCTTTGTGAAGCCCCGGGCCCATCTCCAATGGCCATCTGTCTAATGCAGTGTTTCTCAACCTTGGCAGCTATAAGACAGGTGGACTTCAACTGGCTGGGGAATTCTGGGAGTTGAAATCCACCCGTCTGAAAGTTGCCAAGGTTGAGAAACACTAGTCTAATGTAGTATGACTAAAGGGGAAGGAGTGAGGAGGGCCACAAGTTGTTTGTGCTGCTTCACAGGATAAGCAAAAATGTTGAGATCTGATATGAAGCAGATTACAGTTTTAGTCTGCTTGTGGCAAGGCACTGCAGGGGATAAAAGAGGAACTGTCAATGTAGTTGTGTGGATGTCACTGTTTTGATAAGGTTTGAAAAGCAGTACAGTAGATTTTGTGAAGCCATTAACTTGGGGAATGTCCCACAAATAATGCGTTGCTGATATTGACCCCCTCCCCCAGTTATGACTAGTTTTCTCAAGTGGGAGCACTTCACTTAATACTGAGTTGAGAAATGGCTCAGCAGGTACACTGGGAACGATTCCTTGCAGTTAGAAGGACTGAACGTTTCTTCAGTAAAAAGCCTTAAAGGGCTTGGCCAATTTACATCTCTTCCCAGCTGACTTCCTCCTGGAATAGCTCGTCCTAACCAGGATTAAAACAAACAAAGATGGCCCAGAGAAACCTTTAACTGTGTGCTAGTGTTGCGGGAGGTGGTGAGTGAGTTCCTGCGTCCAGACAGAAAAGTAATGCCACCACTGACTGGGGCATCTTTGCTTCACAGTATGTTCAGGCAGATGCTCCGACCAATAAAACGCTGGCTGGGCTGGTGGCGCAGTTGCTGCAGTTTCAGGAAGATGCCTTTGGGAAGCACGTTGCCAACCCTGCCTTCACCAAATTTCCTGTAAGTATTGAGGGTTTTCCCAGCGTGGTTCTTCGGTGGCTCTCTTTGCGGCAGATTACTTCCATCCTAATGGGTAGAAAATGACAAGAGATGCCAGAGGTGTGCAGAGAGCAGTTGTGTCTTAGCCTAACCATTTCCAAGATATAGTGGAGGTTCTGATGCTTCATCAAGCGAGCACTGCAGGACAGATACCTGCCTTCACCAGGAAGAAGACATACCGTATCTGGTTCACCCTGGTTGCCTGTTCGGGTGTCCTGTTGCTTTCTGGTCCTAGTATTTCAACTGAGCCCACGGATGCAAGTCTACAGGTGTGGCCTTCGCTTGGAATTGCAGTCTCTGTACAGTCAAACCGGTCAACAGAATCCCAGTGGATTAAGAGGATATTATTTGGAGAATGGTTTGCTTGGATAACAATGCTTTGCTTTGGGTAACCAAGGCGGGTGGGGGGAAACAAGATATGCTGGGGCCAAGCCGTTTAGGTCTTTAGATGGAACTGCTAGCATGTAAACGGTGACCCAAGGTATGCCGATAACCTGTGCAATCTTGCATTTGTAAGTTCCTTTAATGATTAAGCATATTGGCTTTCTGCTGATCTAATCAGAATTTCAGTTTGCATCTTTGCAATCTATTGGGTTAGCCGATCAAGTATGATTAACATCAGCGATCATAGACTCAATGCTTTAATTGAAGTGCTTGAAGATGATGCAGTATCCATGAATGGGAAATAGTACTGTGATTTTGAAGGTAAAAAGCATTGTTCCCAAGACACTGATTAGAAAGATGCCTGACCAAAACTGTGGAGATTGGCTTGCCAGCCAGCATGGATAAGACTGTCTTAGTGAATCCGTAGCCCAGCATCTTATAATATAGGCTTAATGGAGGGTTTTTACCCTTCAAGAAAGTGATCTTGCATCTGTGCATTCATACCTTTGATTTAAGTTCCTCGGTGCAAAATTGCACGATCAAATGGTTTTCATCATCCTTCTGAACTCCTTATTTGGTTGGCAACTAGTATGTTTAAATTGTTACATTTACTTGTTGGCACAGATCGTTCTGCAAATATATATATATATATATAATGACAATTTTGATTTATAATGTTATGTTTTCAGATGCCTTAAATTAAATCA